CACACACACACACACACACACACACACACACACCAGACAGGCTCTGTGCATGCTTCCCTCCCCCTCCCCACCACTGCCCTGCAGCCCGGGGCAGGCTCTTACCAAGATGGTGGCAGCCACAGTCCCGGCCTCCTTGTCCACCAGCGGTACGACCAGCACTGAGGGGGAGAGGGCAAGGAGGTGGTCCTGCGCGGCCAGCAGGGCTCAGAGACCGAGCCGGACCCAAAAGAGAGACGAAGACGCACAAAGAGAGGCTGGGACCAAGGCACAGAGAGACCCAGAGACCCAGAGAGAGGGCTCCTGAGGTGGCAACAGCCCCTGCACAGAGGGGCGGGATGCCCCCTCACTCGCAAACACCCCATGCTCCTCCCAGCAGCCCTGGGAGGGAGGCCGGTAGGCGAGGCTGAGCACCCTGATTTCACAGATTAGCCAAGTGAGGTCCAGAAAGGGGAAGTGACTTGCCCCAGATCACACAGCAAGTCAGGTCTCCTGACTCCCCGTCTTGTGCACTTTCCACATGGAGACAGAGGACAGAGACCTAGAGAGACTGAGACACGAGGCAGAGGGGAGGCGTGGCACACAGAGGGCTTGGAGAAGAAGAGAGAGAAACACAAAGATGGTGACAGAGACAGCATGGCAACGACCCCTCATCTAGCCCGGAACAGACACGGGCATGTGGGAGCGGTGGCCACTGGGAACTGAGCCCTGGGAGGGACCAAGCCCCAAACATTCACGGTCTCCTTTGATCCTCCTGGAAGCGTTCCCTCAATCAGTACTCTCATTCTCAATTTACGGATCAGGACACCGAGGCTCAGAGAAGTCAGTAGCACACGAGAGAGAGAAAGAGAATTAGCTGGAGGGGTTGCCAGAGACACACAGCAAAAGAAACAAGGAGACGGCGAGATAAAGGCAGAGGGAACAAACAGACATGACTTGGGGACCCCGGCCACAATCCCTCCCTGCCGCTGCCCAGCTCCCAGCTCTTACCTTGGGTGTTGGGGGCCAATGGAGCCACCAGCTTGGCCAAGGGCTTCCCTGGCAAGTCCAAGGGTCCCAGTCCATGGCAGGCCAGCCGTTTCCGGGAGGTCACAGCCTCTCTGGAAAAAGGACACCCCACCTCTCAGACCATGCACTGAAGAGGAGCAGGCCCAGGACTGTGGCCACATAGTAGGCTGGATCCTGCAACCTCTGGGACGGTCTGGACAAGTTCACCTGCTGCAGGTTGGACCCAGGGAGGGCCAAGTGGCCAGGGCCACCCGGAAAGGCCCAGGCAAGGCTCGGGCAAGATCCCCAAGCAACAGCCAGAGCCAAGCAAGTAAGGGCAAGGGCTCCAGCCAGCCTGCCCCCACTCCAGCCAGTCAGAAATTCTAACTACTATAGCCACCTCTAGGAAAGAATTATAGCGCAACTTGGGGTGTTAAGTATGGGGGCGGGTATGAGAGTTCATCTAAGCAATTTACGGAGATTAACTCGGGACTCCCGTCAAACCTGGCAATCCGGTATTCTCACCATCTCCATTTCCAGAGGGAGAAAGCGGGCACAGAGAGGCTAAGTAACCCATCCACGGTCACACAAGCTAAATAACCTGGGTACAGCCAGACTTTGAACCCAGGCACTTGGCACCAAGGCCCATACTCTTTACCACTCAAACCTTCTCAGAGAGCTGAGGGCGGCTGGCCTGAGTGCCTAGGAGGCCAAAGGCGGGTGCATGCGTGCGTGCGTGGTGGTGATGAGAAGCGGGGACCAAGGCAGGGCGGGCTGGAGTGGGAACAAGGAGTTCCTCTCTGCCCCCATCACAACTATCTTCAACCCCGATCTCTCGTCCTTCCTGCTTAATTATGTGTGTGGACGTTCACCAAATGTCACTCCCTGATGATGAATTCTCCCAGGTCCCTCATCCCTCACAGGGCCGCCACTTAATTGGCTTTGCAGGAACTGCCTGGCCTGGACCGGGGAGGGAGGAGGGTAGGGGAGGAGTGGGGAACATACGGTGCTGGGACAAAATGCCAGCATGAGGGGGCACCGAGGAGAGAGGGGGTGGGCTGCAACTCTCCAAATCAGGAGGCCACACCCATTAGGGAAACTGAGGACGCAAGAGGCTGAGTATCTCATTCGGAGTCACACAGTAGCCGGAATCAGACCTGCTCATGGAACACCCCCACCCCCCACCTTCAAGGCTGGCCCTTCACAACTCCTGGAATGCTGGGGTTCAGCTCTTGCTGCCTGTCACCCTAGGAAGACTAGGGACCGAGGGTAGCAGGAAGACCACAGAAGCCACACTTCCCCAGGAATGCACTGGTGACAGCTGAGGGCTGAGGCTGGCCTTGGTGACCCTCAGCCAAGACCCCCTCGAGACCCCATCGAACCACTTAGCCTCAGACCACCTGGTTGTGAGGAATCCACAGGGTAGTGCTGCTCCTAGTGAGCACTTCAGCATCACCCCGGGGACCTCTGACTCCCCACTCCCCACCCCTCTTTCCTGGGGGAACTTAAGGAGGAATTTATCGTCCGATTTTTTTGGTTTTGTGCAAAACTTCCTCCTCTGCTTCGATCAACCCAAGGTGCCCTAGAGGCCTCCCCTGCCGGACCCCATCCTCTTGTCCCCCTCCTACCCAACCCCACAGGTACCTCCAAAGGCAACCCAGGTCATTCTGAACTCACTGTCCCCACCCCACCCCCGAGTGACACGCCCACCCACTGGGTCCCATTTGGCTAGGCCATAAATTACTGTCGATTTGTTCCTGTTCCTCAACTGCCCTTTCCTCTGGTTGGAGTCACCTCTGTGTCTCTCCCCTGCCTCCTGCCCCCTGCAAGGGGACCCTGAAGACCCTCCTCCTCCCCAACAGAGCAAGTGCAAGCTTTCTATTCAGATGTCCAGAAGTCTTAAGGTTGGGGGGAGGGGAGAGTGGTGTGTCTGCTGGACAGTCAAGCCATGAGGAGGCCAGTGTGGCTGGGCAGCAGAGAGCGAGGCTGGAGAGAGGCCAGGTACCTGAGGAGCTGGGCTGCCCCGAGGGAGGGACTGGGAGTGGGGGCAGGAGGGGGGAGAGGCAAAGGGGGGTCACAGGCAAGCCTCTCACTACACAGGGCCATTTGAGGCTGGAAACGCACACTGGCCCACACACCCTGACGGGCTGCTCCCCTCCTGCCTTCAGAGCCGGACAGAAGAGGGACACACTGGGCAGATGAGGCTGAGCAGGGCCCAGAGCCCCCAGCCAAGTGCTGAGGCTGCTATGGGGTCTCAGCCTTAAGAAGCCCTCCCCTTGGCACCTTGCTCCACAACCTGCCCTCCCAGGCCCTGCACAGTAGGGTGTCAGGCAAGGCCCCTCTCAGAACTTCCTCTCCTCCCCTTCCCTCCTTCCCCAGCCTCTCCCAAACTGCTGTCCCCCAGACAGGGTGTTCTCAGCCCAAGCCTTAGCTCCCACACGTGAGGGTAGGGCCCTGCACTGCTCAGACCCCCTGGTGGCTCTCTCTCAATTCAGAGTCCCTCCCTGCCACCTCCCCTCCCTCCTCATTTTTCTGGCCTGGGTCTTGCCTTCCAGGCTAGTGCTGGGAGGGGTGGGGCTCCACCCCCCAGAGCCAGCTGTCCCAGCTGAAGACCCAGGTGCCTAGGTGGTCATCTAGGGCCCGATGAAGATAAAGACAGATGGGCAGAGATGGAAGACAGGAACAGGCGTGGGTTTTATGACGGCTCCGTCCCTTTAACAACTATTTGTTCAGTGGAGAATGGGTGGAGGGAAAGGCTGTCTGTAATCTGGGTGATGTCCTGGAAGGAGCTAAGTGCCCAGGCCTCCAGGCTGCTCTCTGAGGCCCACATCCTGCTCTCAAACCAGCTTTGCTGGGGCCCCACCCCCTCATTAAGCCCTGTCCCCACCCTGAGATCCTCCCCCTTTCAAAGACAGGCCGGGACCCTCTATCCTCTCCCTCTCCCAGAATGTGAGAATCCAGACAGGGGAACACACTGTGCCCTGGGTCCCCCGAGACAAGCCAGAGGGACAGACAGACATTGCAGTGAGTGGAAACCAGGCCAGCTCTAAAGAATAACTTTCTCAAAGTTGGGCCCTGGGCCCCCCAAGCAGCAGCCGAGGGGATGCAGGGGCGGGGGTCAGTTCTCAGGTGCAGCTGAAAGGCTGAGATTCTGCAGCAGCTCTCAGCAGCCCGGAATCAGGAGCTCTGAGATGGCAGAAGGCACCGTAGGAAGAAGGCGGCAGAGCTGGGGAATCAAAAGAGGCTAGGAGAGCAAGGTGGGGGGCACCGCCAGGAAGACCCTTCCTCCAGGCAGCCGCCTCCAATCCTCTCCAGCCCTGAGACACCCTTCCACCCACCTCCGACAAGACCTTTCTAGAAGGGGACTGGAGGCCCAGAGCAATCGATTGTGTGGGACTGGGAGTGTGTCCATGCTGTCCCGGCTCCCGGGGCTCCCCTTCCCACCTCCTATGCAGAAGCCCAGAGGCCAGGGCCAAGCGTGGGCAGACCCATCCCCACCTGGACGCCTGCTCTGACCACAGGCACCTCTTTGGTGACAGAGTAGCGGGGCTTGGAGGAGGGCTGGGCCTCAGAGAAGTAACATGTGGATTGGCGGAGACTGAGATGGAGCCGGAAAGGGCTCTTGAGGGAGAGACTGCAGGAGCCTGCAGGAGCCTGCACAAGGAGGCAGGGAAGCCTAACTCCTCGGGCCTGACAGCTGGCATCTGGGAGTGGGGCAGTGAGAGGGGGGCTGGGTGCTGCCAGGACCCTCTTCACTCTCACTGTGGTCCATCTCCACCCTGCTTGTCCTCTCAGTCCATTCTCTGTCGCTTCCCCTGGGGCCTTCCCCATCTTTGTCACCCGGACTTCATTGGGTACCTGCTGCTACTACTTGCCAGAGCCCCCACCTCCGCTCTTCTGGGGGAGCACCCCCGCACCCCAACACCCTGAGCACAGAGGTCACCACTGGGAGGACCCTGCAAACAGCTCGCTGGTCTGATAGAAACAGGGAGTCCAAGGCGGAAGTCCGTTTTCCCAGGCCTCCCGCTGAGCTCATCTCCACCAAGGCCCCCTGGCAATGAGCTGTGCACTTGACATGTCCGAGCTCACCCAAGCTCAGGGCGGCGTTAAAGCCCAAAACCACCCTCACCGCCACCAAGTCAGTTCTGACTCAGAGCGACCCCATGGAGCCGGGTAGAGCTGCCCCTGTGGGTTTCCAAAACTGTAACTCTTGGAGGGAGTCAAAAGCCACATCTTTCTCCTGGGGAGCGGCCGGTGGTTTTGAACGGCAAACCTTGCAGTTAGCAGCCCAATGCGTGACCACTATGCTACCAGGGCTCCTCCTGGTGGTCTTAGGTGTTGTCAAGTCAGTTTTAATGGGGCGAGGAGACCGGGGGTCTTTCCACCCTGGAACTGGGTAGCACTTAACCACTGCACCAACGAGGCGCCTTTAAACCATGAGAGCAAGTAGAGCTAGGCCCTCTCTGACCTCTATTCCAGGGCTCTCACCTCTTCCACACGCCAAGGTCTCAAGCTCTGCATCTGCTGGACTCTCCAAGAGAACAGGTTCCAACCCCCCAAGGCTCCCAAGCCCTAGTCCCAGCAATCCCCAGCCGCAGCTGTGGGGTGGGCAGGCAGAGCCAACCGAGCCACATCCCGGATCTTTGCCCGCCCAAAGGAACTCTGATCTCTGTGCCAGACAGCTCCCTGCCTCTCCTCTGGAGCCTGCAGGCCCTCCTCAGCCTCCTGGAGTCTCGTAGCCCTTACTCTCAGCAGGCTTGGGCCTCTCCCCACGCCACAGAGCTCTAGGCTAATTGCGTTTCAACATTCACTCTTAATTGCTTTTTCTATGCCTTTTCCAGAGTCTTTCATGAGTCTGAAGAGGCTGGGGGCCTGGAGACGGCTGAAATTGCTGCTGATGAAGAGGCTGAACCCCCACCCCCCACCTCAAAGGTGCCTCCAGTTCACCCTCACTCTGCCTGCACCCCATGGCCTGTGGCATCACCCAGGAGTATCTGCCAGGACCAAAGGCGGGGCCAACCCTGCAGGCTGCTCTCCTGCCCCAGCTGCTCCAGGGAGCCATCGCGAGAGGGCCAGTCGATATGAAGCAAAGTGCTTTAGGATTAGGGGTGGGGTGCTGGAACTCCAACGTGTTTCCCCTTAAGAGTCTGAAGGGCTCCTGGCTCTGGCAGTGGAGGCCCAAGAGGGGCAGTGATGGGCTTGGTTCCCGTGGTCCTCACAGGGAAGAGTGATCAGGAGACGCTGAAAGGGAGCCCATCACCCATCCACATGCCCGCTCAGGGAATCAAGCGAGAGAGCAGGAGGGGCAGGGCTCCGAGCTATCTGAGAGGCACCAACCATTTCTATTGGGAAGAGCAGGGATTTGAGACCAGCGATCTAGAATCCAGGGTCCCAAAGTGCCAGGAGGGGCATTCCTACCACAAGCCCAGCATCCACGAGCAAGAACACTCTCCGTGGGTGGCTTCCGGGAGAGGTGAGCACCTTGCCCAGCCTACACTCTGGTGCTGTTGCATCGATCCAACCCCTGGAAAACCCCGTGGACAGCGGGATAGCACAGCTCCCTGGGCATTGACTGGCAGGTGACCGGGTCTGGCTCTCTCTCATGGAGCCACTGGGTTCATTTGAACCCCCGACCTTGTAGTTAACAGCCGAGCACTTAGCTGCCATACCACTGCACTCCTTTATCCTGCTGCCCAACGTGCCACATCACGGTGCTGCTCAGCTGTCCGGACAGCCTGCCTCACAGGGTGGGAAAGTGCCAACCCCCCCACCCCTCCCGGTGGTACTCACTGTGCCCTCAGCTCCCAGAGCCTCCGTCCCTGGGCAGCCAGTGGTTGTATCCTCCCGGGCCACCCTCATGACCAGCACCCCTGCGCTCCAACACTTTCCCATCTGAGTGTTTCTCTTTCCCTCCCAGTCAGGACCCAGGGGACTCATGTCCCAGACGAGGCTCTGCCTCACACCAACTATGCAACTTTGAACCAATCTGAATAGACGTTGGCCCATCTGGAAAAGGAGAGTTTGGGGATATCAGAGGGCTGTGGGGTGCAGAGCCCTTGATATTAAAACCAGTGACTCAGACATTCTGTCATGATAGTACCAAACTATGGCGGTGGTGGTGGTGGTGGTTGCTGTGTCTTGGCACGTTGACTCTAAGCCCGAGCAGCTCTGTAGGGCAGAGTAGAGCTGCCTCCTAGAGCCTGCTAGGCTGCCATCTTTGTGTGCCAAGGGAGAAAGCAGTCTGCTTCCATAAGAATTGACCACCTGGGAAACCCTGTAGGGGTCTGTTTGGGAGGTTGCACCTGTATGGGAGTAGACTGCCAGGTCTCTCTGCCTGTGGGGGGACCGGCGAGTTCAAACAGCTGTCCCTTTAGTTGGGAGTGAAGACCTTAACCATTGCACCGCCATGGACCCTACTGAACACAGGCTCTGTTTCAATGCTGTGTGCTGAACCCACGTGATGCTTCCAACAACCCTTGAGATAAGAACTGTTGCCGGTATTTTAACTAACAAGAAACCGGAGGCTCAGCATAGCTGAGGAACTTGCCCAAGGCTAAGACAGCTCAGCTACAAAGCACTAGGACTTGAACCCAGGTAGTCCGGTCCCTGAACCCTCAGCAGCACCCAGCCTCTGGCTTCCCTGTTGGAAGACAACAGGGGCTCCAGCCACAGGCTCTTGTCAGGTCTGACATTGGGTGATTCCAGGCCCAGCCTCTCAGGCAGTTCTGGCTTCTAACCAGTAAACGCTGTTGCTCCAACCATCGCTCTGTGACCGCACCCAGGAAGATGCCACCCACCCAAACTCGGAACTCTGGGGAGTAAGCCTCCAGGTGGCACTTCCTGGATCCGACCACGGCCCCAAGCCAAAGGCAGGCACTGCTTCTCTCTCCTATCCTCAGGGTCAGCTGCCAGGCCACGGGCAGCCCTCAGGCAGGAATGCTGGGGCCTGGATGACCGAGCAGCACTACCCAGCCCTGCAAACCCTCAGCTGTTCAGGGGGTGGGGCGAGGGGCTTACCGGACTTTCCCCTCCTGGGGCAGCTCGTGCGGAGGGTCCTCACACACCAGCCGGGACTCTCCATCCAGCAGGTAGATATAGATGCTCTCCTAAAACAGAAGGGGCTCGTGAGACCCCGCGGGGGGACAGACAGCCTCCCCATCCGTGCATCATACAGGTGACCGTGTGGTGAGGTCATCAGCCCCCTGGGTGCACGGTGCCAGCATCTGTCTGTTTGACTTCTCAGGTGGTTCTACAGAGCAGCCAGCGTGGTAACGGAGCGCTGCCCTGCTCTCCCCTTGGGAGAGGTTCTGGGCCGGCAGTGCTCCCACGGACTTGCTAGCTTTCCTTCCCTCTCACTCTAAATCCAAGGTGCTGTGGGGCGGACCCATCACCCATCACCACCACCACCACCCAGAAGATCTCCCCGTGTGGCTTCGGCCTCGGGGAGTCAGCAACTCATTAACTGAGGTTTATTGAGCGTCTACTCTGGGCCAACCCTGGGGGAGGGGTCCAGAGGGCCTTGGAAGTTTACCACCCCTCACCCCCTCACCCCCACGCTGCAGGGAAACAGACCTCTGCAAGGAACCGCACACCCCTGACCTGAGCATGACAGCCACATGACAGCCACCCTCAGCTGGTGGCTCTGGAGGGCTGCCTGGAGGAAGTGACTGTTAAGCTGTAACCAGAGTGGGCATTTGATGGAGTCCCGAGTTTGGGGGTGCAAAGGAGTGGGGTTGAGTTCAGAACACCAGCTTCTGGGCTGAGCAGCATGTGTGTGGCTTCAGAGGTCTAAAGGGCACGGCCAGCTCTGGGTCTGGTGGGGATGGCAGGGCCTTGTTTGCCGAGCCGGGGAAGAGTGGTGCGCCAGGGGAGACTGAGCAGACTTGCGTTTTGGAAGATTGCTCTCCAGAGTAGGATTAGAGCTCTGCTGGAAGCTTGTCCTGTCTCCAGCTGACCAGTCAATCTGCCTTCCCCAGGGGCCTGGAGCAGGCTCGGGCCTGAGTTCTGGACTGCATCTTGGCAGAAGGAGTTGCCCTCCCTGACCCACAGGCCCAAATCCACATTCCCTCCAAGCAAGATGCACTGCCCCTAGGGAGCCCAGGCACACCCCATTGGACACAGCCTCACTGAAGGCATGCGCAACATCTCTCCGGCTGGCCCCGTGCCCCGCTGGGCTGGGTCCACACACCAGCCCCTGCCTGGAGGACAGCGCCCAGTGAGGGAGGCACTCACACCACAGCCAAATGTCCAG